AAGAAGGGTCTAGGCCCGAAACGTCAGCTTTCCTGCTCCTCTGATGCTGCTTGGCCTGCTGTGTTCATCCAGCTCTACACCTTGTTATCACAATTAAGTGAGATCCAGCTTCAATATCCCTCAAGTACCAAGTCTTAAATAACTACTGCATTGGAAACGCAAACTCACACTGATCTAAAAGCAATGAGAAGCCAAACAAAAACCTTCTTGATTTCCCTAAGTGGACCTGGCAACAAAGCCCTTTGTAGAAGGTTTTATTCATGTATTCATTATCACCCACATCTGAAAACAGAAAGCTTTTACCTTGCTTCCAACACTGCAAAGAATAGTGAGGTGATCTCATCATCTTCGCACATCATTTTGAACCCAGTCAAGTTATGAATAATGAAATCCTAACCGATGAAAATCCTCTCTCATATGATGTATAGAAAACATTAAAATCGAGTAAATAATTTATAAAAATGTATTTACGAATCTCACCCTTCAACTGGCTTTGAAGCCCAAATATAACCGCCACAACAATTACATTCTCATCCCTATTCAACAGATAGATAATACTTTTAAAAATAAGGTCCAACATCTTTTGCTTCTGAGTTGTTTTCTGCTTTTCATTCAACCAAAGCCATTATTTCCCAATTCAACCTGAAGCTCTATAGCTAATGCTGAAGGACACAGTGCGATCTGACTTACCCTCCAGCAGGATTGTCTCCTCCAGGTCTTACTGTTGTCATAGGTCCTTCCAGCCTGATTACCCAGTGTCACTGATATAAAGTCCCTCCGCTGCGGTGAATACATTCTTCAAAAATCTCCTGGGGGAAATGCTGCTTTCCAATACCCTGCAAGTTGATTCAATGAGAAAGCATTGATACTGGTTTTATTCTTAACTTACAAGAGCTTCATGGGAACAATTACATTTCTCAGTACTGAACAAGATTAGATGATAGTTCTCAAGGTTACATCTATTCACAAAGAACAAGCTTTGTACAATGTATGATGTATCAATCCTTATAAATGTGCTAAGGCGACAGAGTTGGAATCAGCAAGCAGAAGTGAGGAAGGCTACAGTATCAAACCATTCATCTCTCAGACCTGTTCTGCCATGCATTTAGACTATGGCTGATGTTTATCATAACCACATCTACACACTTCTGTGGCTTGTAAAAAGAAATCAATCAGGGTTTCAAAATATTCAACTGACTGAATCTCACCAGCTGTTTTGAGGGAACAGAATTGCAGATTTCCATTAGCCTATTAAATGAAGAACTCTGGCTGAAATCACCCCTTAACGGCTTAACACTAATGTAGTGGTGAAACCTCTAATTATGGCCTCCCCCGACAAGGCCGAAGATTGTGTATGTTAGTTCCTTTAGACTAATCACAGAATGTCATCATATACAACATTTCATTTTTAAAAAAAAGAATTCCATGATATTTTTTGATTAACAGACAGTAATCAGTTTTGGACTTTCAAAATTATAGTGTGCATCTTCTAAGATTATTCAAATTAAAAAAATTTGTTCATTCACAAGGACAGTGCCCCTTCACCACCCCAGTTCTATAGATTCTAGAAGGTAAAACTGAAAGCAACTCAGTTTGCATTATACTATCGTATAATAGTGGTCAATAAATAGTTATGCTATTGGACTTGCAATCTAGAGGCCTGGACTGAAAATCCAGGGAAATGTGCTCAAATATCACCATGACGACTGGGAAAGTTAAATTAATAAATAATAAATAAATCTGGAATAAAAGCTGGCATCAATAATAATAAGCAATTAATTCATAGGTTGTCGTAAACACCTATCTGCTTCACTACTGTCCTTACCTAATCTGAGCTGAATGGAATAGAGAAATACAGTTGACTCTTAACTGCGTTTTGAAATAGCCTAGTAAGTCACTCAGGGAAAGGCAATTAGGATGGCAATAACGGGGGCGTAGGGGGGTTAGGAGCCATAATGTTCATGATTCATGAAAGAACAAAGGAATTACCTTAATATTAGAATTTCTGGTCCTCACCTCTCAAGTTTTGCAACATTTGTAACAATGAAGTATGAATAATCACTACATCAGCAATATAAATCCAAAACATGCATGCTGCTCACCAGCTAAGCATTGTGAATTCTGATGGCCGCAAGCTCTGCACCTGGGCCATTTTGACAAAGGATATCATACACAAAAAAACAGTTGTATGTGTGGGCGCTTGTACTTGATATGAATTGTAAAGTATTTTAACAGAGACAGAAACTGGTTAAAAAATCCCACATGGCCACACAATTTCCTGTTCCACTCTCTTTCATGGATTTATTTAGCAACACTTCAGTCCATCTGTACTATTCAATTCACTGCTTTTTGTCATGGAGAGTTTCACATTCAAATCAACTTTTCCGTAAAGAATTTTCTCTTGAAGTCCCAAGTGGATTCATTAGTGCAATCTGATACTTGTGATCTCTAGTTTTGGCCACCTCTGTCCAAACCTTTTAATAATCTTACAGACCTTTAATCAGGTCACTCCTGGGCTTTTTTCTTTCTCAAGAAAAGAGTCCTAATTTTGCATCTTGGCTAATAACTCTACATTTCTTTTATAATATAGAGACCAGAAATGTGCAGTTATCCAAGTGGGGTCAAACCAAGGTTCTGTGCACATTTAGCATAACCTCTCTGCTTTCCAATTCTCTGTCAAAACAATAAACCCTGAAGTTTCATTTCTTCTCAACATGGCCTCATTGACCTATACTGCTACTTTGAATGCATGACGAGTCTGCACCCCCAGATCACTTTGTTCATCCCCTCAATTTAGACTCTTATTTTCCAGGGAGTAAGTGGCCTGTCATTGGCCCACAAGGATGTAGCACCTCACATCTATTCCTCAATATTAATTACACCCCAAAGCAAACAAATTTTAAAACTGCATGCCAATTGTGAACCAACATATACTTGTGTGTAAAAATATACATTTGCACAAATAATCTGATCATAAAATAGGTGGAAACCTATAAAGTTCTAACAGGACTAACACAGAACATAGAACAGTACAGCACAGTACAGGCCCTTCGGCCCACCATGTTGTGCCAAACTTTTACCCTAAACCTAAGGTCTATCTAACCTCCACCCCTACCTTATACTATCATCCACATGCCTATCTAATTGCCGCTTAAATGCCCCTAATGAGGCCGACTCCACTACCCTCTCCGGCAATGCATTCCACACCCCTACCACTCTCGGAGTAAAGAACCTACCTCTGACATCTCCCCAATATCTACTTCCATTCACTTTAAAACTATGCCCCCTTGTAATAGCTACCTGCACCCTAGTACAGGATAAACATAAGGAGGATGTTCCTGATGGCCGGGGTGTCCAGAATAGGGGTCACAGTCTAAGGATCTGGGGTAAACCATTGTGGATTGGTGCGAGGAGAAATTTATTCACCCACAGAGTGGTGAGCCTGTGGACTTCTCTGCTACAGAATGCAGTTGAAGCCAAAACACTGAATGTTCTCAAATAGTTGGTAATAATTCTTAGGGTAAGAGGAGAAAGCAGGAACAGGGTACTGAGCTAAATGATCAGTTATGACCATACTGAATGGCTGCACAGGCGCGAAGGGATGAATGGCCTATTTCTGCTCCTATTTTCTAAACTACAGTAAATCATTAACAGGAATTTTCATTGCACACTGATGTGCAACACTGTAAATATTCCTTTTCAATCACCAGCCACAAGGAAGGTAATACAATGTTGTAAAAGAATGTTAGAAAGTGATGCAATTTAAAACATTGGCGGACAGGGTTATCTGGTAAAGAGGTGAAAAAATAGGCACGTCAGTATTAGCTAGTAAAGCCGGAAGTTCTACCTTCTCTACTCTTCACTTGGTCACCAAATGCCTACTTGATGTACCCCAAGAATGAATGCAATGAGAAGTCATTTTCAGATGTTAATAGTTATATCCACAGTTTTTATTTCCAACCAATGTGATAGACAGAAATTACAGAAATATTTCATTAAAGCGGTTAAGATACCTTGAAGAAAACATAATAAACAAGATGCAAACGAGGTTTAATTTTCAGAATTGCAGTGTGTTGTCCTGGTTAAGTGCTGTTTGGCTGGTTTTTTTTGACAGCCAGTTGGTTAAACAGCGTGCTTTAAAAGCAAATACCATAAGTACACATTGAACTTCACATATAGGACTCAAACTTGTCCAAAAGACAAAAGATTCATTTCTAACAAGAGTTAACCATTTATAAATCTGAACAACATCTGCAGCAAGTGTGGTAGGATGAAGCTTTCCCCCTTCCGCACCCACTAATCTGATCTATGGCACAAGCAACTGCATTTCCTGTTGTTTTCAACACAGTGTGAAGGCTGGGAACATGCCACCTGCACAATGCTGACACTATCAAAACACTGAATGGAGCAATAAAAATCAGTCAAAAAAACAGTTATCGACTGAACGAAAACAGAAGTTGCTAGAAAAACTCAGCAGGTCTGTTAGCATCTGTGAAGAAGAAAAAAAATCAGAGTTAACGTTTCGGGTCCAGTGACCCTTCCTCAGAACTGGACCCGAAACATTAACTCAGATTTTTTCTTCACAGATGCTGCCAGACCTCCTGAGCTTTTCCAGCAACTTGTTTTTGTTCCTGATTTACAGCATCCACAGTTCTTTTGGTTTTTATGTAGCATCAACTGAAAATTTGAGAATCTTTAAGAGAGATGACAATTTAAAAAAAAATTAAAATGGACCTCGGCATCACAATAAGCAATAATTGACATATCATCTGTTTCATGTCACAGACAGAGGAAACAGAAATCTGACGGAAAATAAGGCAATGCTAAAACAAAACGTCGGAAGCAAACTGAGAAACATGAAAAATAAGTATTTGTACTATGAACTGAATCTTCATCAGTTGTACAATGCAGCTACAGGGGGGACAACATTGTCTGAAGAGTAACAGATTAGGAATTTAAATGAAACTAATTTTCAAGAATAACATTTAAAAAGGTTTAAAGGATGCCCCGACAGAAAGGGACCATAAGTTAAAGAAAACTAAATCCAATTGGATTCCAGGCAATGTTTCCCTGACATAAAGCTGTCAATGTTTAGGGTGAAATTGGAGATAAGGGACATTAATTTTTAAAAAAAAGAGACTGTACAAAGATTTATTCCACTGATTATGTATTTTAGTTGGAGTGAGAGCGGGTTTAGAGTTTGTGAAGAGCCTGGAGGTACCTGCTCACAGTGGGAGGACTAGTCCAGCTCCTCCACCGAGCTCCCGGGTCTGTTGTCTACTCGAGCAGCCGGTCAGAGGTGCGGCCTAGCCTCCAGGCAGCAGCTGTCACCGGGGCCTGTCTCTCTCTCCCCTGGAACCGCACGGCTATGTCAGGGCTCCCCCAGTATGGAAGGTTCACCTTCCGCAGTCAGTCTTGCCTTCCAGCCCCGGCCCCAGTCCCAGCTCAGGCCCTGACTCTCTGTCCAGCTCCAGCTCCAGCTCCGGCTCCAGCTCCGAGTTCCGGGCTCCCAAGCTCCGCCCTCAGCGTCACTGCCGCTGGGGCCAGAGGGGACCCACCACTCAGCAGCGGCCTGAATCCATCCAAACAACAACTCAGTAACAGGCATCGCAATAGCAGCAAACACTGTAAGAACAGTACCCATTGCAATAACAACTAACATTATAAAAATAATACCCACTGCATTAACAGCAAAGATTGTAAGCATATACCCATTGCGATAACCGCAAAGATTGTAAGAATAATGGCCATTGCAATAACAGCCAAAGATTATAAAAATAATACCCATTGCAATAGCGGCCAAAGATTGTAAAAATAATACCCATTGCAATAACAAATATTGTAAACATAATACCCACTGCATTAACAACAAAAATTCAATACCTATTGCAATAATAGCAAAGATGTTAAAAATAATGGCCATTGCAATAACAACAGATTGTAAAAATAACGACCATTGCGTTAACAACAAGAATTGTAAAAATAATACCCGTTGCAATCGCAGCAAAGATCGTAAAAATAATACCCATTGCAATAACAGCCAAAGATTGTAAAAATAATACCCATTGCAATAACAAATATTGTAAACATAATACCCACTGTATTAACAACAAAAATTGTAAACATAATATTCATTGAAATAACAGCAAAGATTGTAAAAATAATGGCCATTGCAATAACAACAGATTGTAAAAATAACGACAATTGCATTAACAAGAATTGTAAAAATAATACCCATTGCAATCGCAGCAAAGATTGTAAAAATAATACCCATTGCAATAACAACTAAAGTTGTAAAAATAATGGTCATTGAAATAACAACAAAGATTGAAATATCATTAATTATTACAATAACAAAGATTGAAAAAGTAATAACCATTGCAATCACAACAAAGATCGAAAAATAAATAATCATTACAATACCAACAAAGATTGAAAAACAAATAATCATTGCAATAACAACAAAGATTGAAAAGGTAGCAACTATTGCAATAACAGCATATTTAATAATAACCACTGCAATAGCAACAAAGATTGCAATAATAACAACCATCACAATAGCAATAAAAATTGTAACAATAACATAATTGCAAAACAACAAATTGTACCAATAATTGTAACAACGACAAAATATTGTCATAATAATTACAATTGAAATAATAATAATTCTCATTGCAAGCATTATAATAACAAAATAACAGAAATGATTCAGTGACAAGCATTGCAACATGCAATATCAAGCACTGTAATACAAGCATTGTAATCAAAAACAAGCATTGTATTGCTGGAAAAGGATATATTTTGACAAAGCATTTTATGTTGCACTCATCAGGACAATTTGCAAGAATACCAGTTTAAGGGGAAACATTATATGTTATGAGAGGAGAGCATTGAATAAACATTGTAATCGTTGTAAGATGCATCTTTATCACTGCTCATAATGTTGTATGAGACATCTGGCAGATTTGCTGTCACCATCTTTCCTCATCGGGATCTACAGGGTATGCTTGGTTAAGAGTGGTAGAGAGAAAAAAAGACTTGCTAATCTAATGAGAACAGCTTTCCTCTTAAACAATTGATAATTTATTGTATGACAGCAACCATGTACAAATTGAATCGTTAGACAGAGGGCTGAATTTTGCCAACAAATGGCTATGTTTCTCAGAAATTGCAGGAACTGCAGATGCTAGAGTCAGAGACAACACAGTGTGGAGCTGGAGGAACACAGCAGCTCAGGCAGCATCAGAGGAGCAGGAAAGTTGATGTTTCGGGTCAGGACCCTTCTTCAGAACTTTGGCCAGGTTTCTCACATATGTCTTGAGGGTTTGTTTTTAATCTTAAAAACTGAAATGAATTATGCTGATCTCCTGTAATAAATTGTGAAGAAGAATCCTGACCCAAAACGTCAACTTTCCTACTCCTCTAATGCTGCCTGACCTGCTGTGTTCCTCCAGCTCCACACTGTGTTGCCAAATGGCTATGCTTGTAGTGATTATAGTTTTGTCGAGTTCCATGGAAGATTTTACTCTGTGAGCTCTAGCAAGTTTTCTGGCTACCTTCCCAAACTCACCTCATTAACTATGCACCATGCCCCATGGAAACCATTATTTCAGAATTTCCCATTCACCACAGGCAGAAGTACTGACCACTCCCAGGACCTCCCTCTTGATGCTGAAACTATCTTTAATACTCAGTTGCCCACCCAGTCAAACACTGGCAGACCACAGCTGTCCTTGGCAGTTTGTTTCATTTGCTGCTGACGTGTACTCATAGTACATGATCAGGTAATTTATGATAATTGCCTTTATATCAAGCTTAAAATGAATAAGATGGCCATTGGCTTAAGTGTCTCCTTGGCAAAAGATCAGGTCTGGATTAGCCTTTCCAATTCGGAAAGCCTTTAACTTTCTATCTCCTAAAAACACATTTTTGTGAGTAGCTATTGGACTTCTTCCTGCTCTGTGAATGTGTCTTACTTTGGCACATTTTCTGAAAGTGGTGTTATTTTACAGATAAAACATTCTTGTTTAATAACTGGGCATTGTTTATGCCTGTGAGGTGACCTTGCTCCATTAGCACTGTCAATGGCTGTTAATGCCCGTCCTACTCACTGGCCAGGTTTTTCACATATGCTCAAACATTTGTTTTTAATGTTAAAAAACTGAAATGAATTGTTCTGAACTCCTGTAATAAGTTTGATGGTGAAGACCACACAGTTATCCACCTACAAGCAGCAGATAGCTAATTAAGAGTGTTGAATGGCTACTTTGGGCTTATGGTCAGAGCCAACAGTGGCTTGACTGCTCCACCAAATGCTGCATGACTCAAGCTATGATCATCTCGAATGGCAGAGCAGACTTGATGGGCTGATTGGCCTAGTTCTGCTCCTATATCTAATGGTTTTATTACAGTCACATTTCACCTTGTCATCACACCCTGTCCTCTTCAGTTATAGCAGCCATTCAAATGCCCATTGAGGAGTTGGTTAGCTCACTCAGCTGCTTCAGGAGGCAGAGTGATGCCAACAGCAAGGGTCCAATTTCTCTGCTGGCGGAGCTCACCCTGAAAGCTCCAACTTCTCAACCTCACCCCTCGCCCGAGTTGGGGTGATCCTCAGTTGAAACTCACCACCTCTATTAAGAGTGCAGCATTTGGTGACTTTAATTCATTTAAATGTTTGTTGGCTGCTTCTGGCCTAATCCCAGCCTCACACTTTCTTTTGCTTCCCCCCAGTTCCACTGGCCATTTCAATTTCAGCAGGAATTCTTCACATTTCTCATCCACTAAGATTTTCAAACTCTTGATGCAAGATTTCTTGTTTTGTGTTTCAAGACTTGGAGTGAGAGTAAGGACACATAGTTTGAAAGGGCAAGGACAGACACAGAGCAGAAAGACACAGCATGGAAAATGTGGGGATTCAGGTATGAGAAACAGGTCCAGAAAAAAAAGAATGAGAATTCACAATAGACCCTAATTTGCAGAAGATCACAAATAAGATCATGGTACATCTACATCGGTGAGACCAAGCGGAGGCTTGGAGGCCGCTTTGCAGAGCACCTGCGCCCTGTTCGCGACAAATGACAACACCTTCCAGTTGCAAACCACTTCAACTTCCCCTCCCACTCCCTGCATGACATGTCCATCCTGGGCCTCCTCCAGTGTCACAATGACGCTGCCCAGAAACTGGAGGAGCAGCACCTCATATTCTGCCTTAGGAGCCTACAGCCCAATGGTCTCAATGTGGACTTTACGAGTTTCAAAATCTCCCCAGCCCTGGCCTCATCCCATGACCAACTCTCCCTCTTGGGCCTTTAGTGATGATCTTTTCGTCCTCACTGTCCACGGGTATGGTGCCGGAAGATTGGAGAGAGGTAAACGTCATTCCCTTGTTCAAAAAAGGGAAGAGGGATAACCCCGGAAATTACAGGCTAGTTAGTCTTACATCAGTGGTGGGCAAATTATTGGAAAGGGCTCTGAGAGATAGTTTTTATGATCACTTGGAACTGCACAGTTTGATTCGTGATAGTCGGCATGGATTTGTGAGGGGTAGATCATGCCTCACAAACCTTACTGAATTCTTTGAAGAGGTGGACAAATACATGGATGAAGGTAGAGCAGTGGATGTGGTATACATGGGTTTAAGTAAGGTGTTTGATAAGGTTCCCCATGGTAGGCTCATGCAGAAGGTAAGGAAGCATGGGATAGGGGAAAATGTGGCAGGTTGGCTGACCCTTAGAAGACAACGGGTGGTAGTGGACGGAAAATATTCAACATGGTGCTCAGTTACGACTGGTGTACCACAAGAATCTGTTCTGGGACCTCTTCTATTTGTGATTTTTGTAAATGATTTGCATGAAGGAGTGGTAGGGTGGATTAGTAAGT